TGGGGCGGCTGCCGCGGTTTGCCCGTCTGTGAAAAATAGGTAAAATAAAAATCGCACTTGGAACGCGAAAACTGCCTGATCTTAATCTGGTTTGTTTCTAAATATATACAAAACTTTCTTTCTCCGAATGCTTTAAATGTGCCTCTTCGCTATGAAAAGAAGTAACTGCTGTAGTGTTCTGAATTTAATCTGGTTTTCTTCCAGTCAGCTTTACTTCATGTAAAAGCTTTAAGGATCGAATCTCGCATTTCTGCGTTAACAGAAAGAGTACTCTTCAGGGAATTGTGAATCGCCTTCAAAGTAGTTCACTTTTCTGTGTGCTAACATTAGTGATTTTAAATTGCAGGAGCGTTCTTAATGCTTCATCTTACAGCTGTGGCTGACTGAACAACATTTGTTTGACATTATTTCCTTAAACAGTCATAATTCATTTCTGTAAAGGAGAAACAGGATGCCGTATAGTTGATTTGAAATAATGCAGTTATGTTTGTCAGTCCACCTTGAAGCATAAATTATCTGTTACATTCTTTATTCCTTTTTTTTTTTTTTTTTAAGATGTTCAGGCTTTGAAGGATGCTTATGAGTTGATGAAATCAGCCAGTCAAGGAAAATCTGCACTTGACTCATCAGATAACTTCAGCACTGACTTATATGTTTTATGTGCTGAACAAGCACTTCAGGTTTGTAATTTAGGCAGTTTATCTGGATTGAATAAAAACATTTATATGACATATTGTATTTAGAGTTGTTAAAGTTGTTAAAAAATATTCCCAGAAATACCTGTGAATAATATTACACTCTTTTGGGTTTGGGGAGCAATTGTTTAAGCATGCATTTTCAGTTAAAACTCGGCCTCTAAATTATCTCCTCTTTATAATCAGTCAGCAAACTGTGGTTTGTGAAATTTGTAATTAGACCAAAATATGCAAGGTATGCCATAGTAATATAAAATAGTTTGCCAAGCCTGTTTTTTCTTCTTATGGAAAACTAACGTTAGCACTTTGGTCATGACTGAAGACAATGTGTTTGTGAACAGTCCCTACTGGGCAAAAGGAAAAAAGGTGACATTCTAATTATGAAAGATTGTTGCTAATTGAGCTGACTTCTATAAAATGTGGTTGGGGTTCTTAATTTCAAAGTATTTTTTAATTTTCGGTCCATGGGTACAAGAGGTTGGATCCACTTCAAGCAGAGTTTCTAGTAAAACATTTTTTTTTCCCAAGCTGCAAGCCACTCAGATTCTATCTGTTGTCCAAAAATTGAGGTGCAGCACTGACATCCATACAAAATCATGCAGGTTAATATCCATCCTTTTAAGAAAACCATTCTACTAAGAATTTTGCCTTTATGTTAACAATTCTGTTAATGGCTATTAAAAAAGGAAACATTTTTTGTATACTGTAAGGGGTTCTATGACTGAGTGACTAAGGAGCTTTGTTAAATAAAGGAGCTATTTTTCTGCACATTTGGAATGACAAAAGTCTTGCTTTAAATTTTAATAAGTCTTAATGGGTTTGTTCCAGATCTGATATGCAGCTTTACGGAATATTCTTTGCATACTTGTATGCAGTTAGATGTTACACTTTGAGTAGGCATGCATTTTTAAAAACTAACAATTCTTAAGTATTTGTTGCATTTTTTAAATATTAAAATGCCTTTTTTGGTCTTTGTAGCTGGGATATCTGGAAATGAGCAGGGACTGTCTACAGATGTATTTTAAAGGAAGATTTCCTGTGAACCAGTTTCTTGGCAGAGCGTATTTGTGCCAAGGCCAGTTGCACACTCCACTCTCTACAGATAATTTGGTGAGGAATTATGAAGGTTGCGTTATATTAAGCCCGTTTTTAGAACTATTTCTTTCTAGGTTTTCATGTATTGCTTTTAGTAATTTAAAATAGACAAGGGTAATCATGACTATGGGAAAAATCAAAGGAAAATATATAAATGGGTAGTTTGGGAGTAAACAAAACTTACCAGCTGAATTAAACTAATATTGCGAATCCTTTGGGGAGAAAAAGAATGCTTGCAAAATTTTTCAGACAGTCAACTGTTTTAAAGACAACCTTTTCACTTTCTACATCAATATGATACTTTCTGACCGAATCTAACTGTAACTGGTAAAACAATTACCAGTTTTACTCAGGATCACATTAAGCATTTCACAGATTTGTGGGAAATGGAGGAGTAAAGGGGCCCTCAGAGAGGTTGCACAGTTCATTTCTCTTCCGTGGCAGTGTGCTTCCACCACTGATCAGTAACCTTTCCATGTAGTACCTTGGATGTGGCTTTTGGAAATGAGAAATGAAGCTTTCTGGTAGCAACTCAGCAGGATGCTTCTGCTTCTAAAAGCTTCTGTGTGTTACCATTCGGTGATACCATGTCCGTACGTGATGAGTAGTTCTTAACCTCCTGCTGAATTTAAAATGGAGTGGGATCTGTTTTCTATCTTCAGTATTTCACTTGTCCTCGTACTGTGGTCAGTCAGCTTTGACAATTTGTCAATGGTATCTGACACCCTAAAATGGCCTTAACAGATGTTTGTGTTATTTGTGTTCACAAATTTCCCTCGTGGATGTTGCTGTAGTATCTTTGAATAATATGTTTGAATTAACTTTCAAGCTAGAATCTTCTCCCTATTATGTTACCTGTACTTTCTCTGCTTTCTCTGAGCACGTGTGCAGAACAACTGATCACCGGTCCCTTTAAAACTTTGTATACATTTGAAAAGTATTTTCTAATGTCCAGTTAGCCTTTTATATTTCTAAATTAAACAAACTGTGATGTTTTCTAAATCTCAGTCAAATTTTGCTGTTTTCTTCTTGACTCTTGCTAACTTAGAAATTAAGAACCATCCCAGTATGTGCAATCCTAGCTTGGTTCCCTTGTGCTGTGTGTTGTAATGTACTTTTAAGATACACTTTGTATTAGTTTTACAGTTTTTTCACTGCTGTGTTCCTAGATCATCTATGAAAATAGGAGTGGCACAACATCTCATGCTGTATGACTAGTAATCGTCGTTCACTTAGAAAAGATAAATTTGTCCTAATTTTGGTTTCCATCCTAAGGAATCCTTGTTAGCTGATTAAGATGCTTATGTTTTTAAGGGCCAAGTGCAACTTTTCTACTTTAGTATCTAATACCTCTCAGGCTCTTAATCCTGTTTTTTCTCCTTATCTAGGTAGTTCCCACTCATTGCTCAGTAGCTGCCTTATGCCAGTCCCAGAGTCCAGTAAATCAGTCCCAACTCTCTTGGAGTTTTTAGTTATTCTGTTCTGTCTCACTATAGAGAGCCCTCTGGTGTCATTCCCTTCCTGCCCCATCCAGTTCCACCTCTGCTTTGCCATTTCCACTGCGCCTTTCTCTTAGGCTTTAAAAAATGCCTTTTTATGATCCCATCCATCTTCTTCACACCCTCCCTTCAGGTGTTTGTACATACTGATGAGATCCCCCCTGAGCCACCTTCTCCAGGCTAAACAGCCCCAGCTCTCTCAGCCTTTCCTCATACGAGAGATGCTCCAGTCCCTTCATCATCTTTGTGGCCCCTCACTGGGCTCTCTCCACAGTGTCCATGTCTCTCTCATACTGGGGAGCCCAGAGCTGGGCACAGCGCTCCAGGTGTGGCCTCACCAGCGCTGAGCAGAGGGGAACGATCACCTCCCTCGACCTGCTGGCAACGCTGCTCCGAAGGCAGCCCAGGATGCTGTTAGACGCCTTTGTGGTGAGGGCGTGCTGCTGGCTTGTGTTCAGCTTGGTGTCCGCCAGGACGCCCAGGTCCTCCTCTGAAAAGCTGCTTCCCAGCTGCTTTAATGAGAAAAAGAGCATGCCTGACACACCATTCAGCTGACAAATTCTTGTTGGAGCTTTTCTGAAGAAAATAATACCTCAAGTGTTTTAATGGGACAAACCAATTTTTTTTTTTTTTCCTTGGCTTTGGTCTTAGACGTTTCTGAGCTTTCTTTGCTGAAAGCTTAAAAAGTATGCAGCTTTGCAGTTTTGGAAAATTTCAGTCCTGATAATTAAAGTTTGGCAGAAATGAAAGAAACTGAAAATATAGTCTTAAAATTTGAAATCAGGAAAACATAGTAATAGGCAATGCTACTGATTTTTAGTTATTCTGTTTCTATGTCAGCAAGTTATTATGGCAGCGTGTTTTATTTGAGATTGGCCTGAAAATAAAAATTGAGGTGAACATATTGAAATAGGAAAATAATGTACTGATTTATAAAAGTCATATTCAAACTGCATTAACAATTTTTTTTGTTCTGTTCTAGGAAGAGTTTGAAAAGTTTGTGCTGTTTTTTATGAAGGCAATAGATTTTGCCACCCATGATCAAAGGTAGGCCCTACTGATAGGATTAACTCTTTAAATCTCAGGAAATGTTACGGAGTTAGGTTTTCATAGTAGTTTGTCTCAGATTTTCACTAGGTAGTCTGGAGTTGTGTTGTGGGGTGTTTTTTTTTTTTTTTCTTTTGTGTATTTTCCTTCCATTTTGTTACTGCACTTCTGTAACTGCTGTGTGTGCTGCAACAATATAAGAATACCGAACAGTCTTAAACAGACAGGATGAATCAGCCTGTTTAAGGCTGGTAGATATCTTGAGCGTTTCTTCCCCATTTATATTAATGCTCTGTAGAAGGAGAGCGCCATGTTAGCTTATTTTAAGTGGTTAATTACTGGGTAGAGTGTAGTTGTAGGAGTTACTGTGCTTTTACTGTTCTTGAGCTGTACTTGTGTTCTCAGTTCTTAGTCAGGATTGGTTCTTATCTAAACATATAGGCAAAGTTCCAATTTTTGCTTCTTAGAAGTGTCGTAAAAATATTCTGTCTGTAATTTTATGTTTATCTAAGTCCATGAAATACTAAATTATTGATTCTTGTTTTTCAGATACTATTTTTTGATATATAATGCCTCAGTTCTTTATTGGGAACTTGTGAGGCCGTATCTTAAGCCTGGGTTCCGCTGTTGTCTTATTCCCAGCCTTTCTCAGATTGTTAAAGCATTAAACCAAACTGAAGAGCAAGACAATGAATGGAGAGCAGAACTCATGATGTAAGTTTAATTGTGTTTTTTCATATGGGCATTCTGTAGTCCTCTTGTACGTGTGGCTGTCACCTGAGGCAGTCTTTACTAATGTATGCTTCACTGGTAACATTGTAGAGAGATTTATTGTGGAAAGCTTAATTCATAACTTATAAAGATATGTAAATGTACACTTAACTTAAAAGATGCTTCATTTTAATATTTACTTTGAGGTTAAAATTTTAGTGGCCGAGGCAGTTAGGCCCTAGCTCTGATCTGAAGTATGACAGGCATTTTGGATGTAGTGTTTGAGTCATTGCTTATGTTCAGTCCTTTTAAGCGAGTGTCGTGGTTCAGCCCCAGCCAGCAACCAAGCACCACGCAGCCGCTCGCTCACTGCCCCTGCCCTGCTGGGATGGGGGAGAGAATCGGAGGAGTGAGAGTGAGAAACACTCCTGGGTTGAGATGAGAACAGTTTAATAATTGAAATAAAGTAAAATAGTAATGATAATAATAACAATATAATAATAACATGCAAAGCAAGTGATGCCCAATGCAATTGCTCCCCACCCGCCGACCGATGCCCAGCCAGTTCCCAAGCAGCAATCGCTACTCCGCGGCCAACCCCCCCAGTTTCTATACTGCCCATGACGCCGTATGGTATGGAATGGCTCTTGGGGCAGTTGGGGTCAGCTCTCCTGGCTGTGCCCCCTCCCAGCTCCTTGTGCCCCTGGCAGAGCAGGCGAAGCTGGAAAGTCCTTGCCTGGCATAAGCAGCGCTGAGAAACAACTAAACCATCAGCGTGTTATCAGCGTTCTTCTTATCCTAAATCCAAAACACAGCACTGTGCCTGCTGCTAGGAAGAAAATTAACTCTATCCCAGCTGAAACCAGGACAGCGAGGAGAAAGACAAACTCCTGTTTTCTTTAAGAACTGTTTTCTTTAGGTAAAGAAACATAACCTTTAAATAGATAAACAAAGATCTCTTTTTGTCCTCTGATCCCTGAAGAGAAAGGAACAGCCTGGCAAGGTTGTGAGAATGTATTCAGGATACCTTCTAATTTCCTCATTCTTCATTATGAAGATTTTATATATATTGACCTAAGTTATCTTTCTTTTTTTTTTTGCCTCTTGTTAACCCATAACTGTATGTTGAAATGAAACTTTATGAAAAAACAGTGAGCAAAATAAGTATTTGCATTGCAAATACGACAATTAAGAATACAGAGATGAGTTGTCAGCGGTAGTGATGCGGTTTTTATATGTCAGTCACATGCTTTAATGTACAATTTGGTACTGTATGGTTCTTATCAATGTAATTAGTTTAGATCAAGCTTTTTCCTTTCTAATTAGTATGATACCCAGTTTTCTTCAGTATTAAATTAAAGGCTGTCCCTGCTAATTTGTATACACTGCTTGGCCTAATGTTTCAAAGCATAAATTAAATAGGTCATCTTTTAACCAGTCTTAGGCAAAATAAGAGCCCAAAAGTTACGAAAAGGAGAATAACGTGCATAAACAAGGCTATTAAGATTTAAACCAACAGGTTTTCTTTCTGGGAGTTAACGAAGGAAAATAAATTGTTATTTGGGCGTTAAACCTCCCAACAAGGTGAATTTGCAGAATATCTTTAAGTATTATGTAAAAAATTTAGAATTGAAAGTCCCATAATTTTTAAGGAAAACATTAGTAATCTAAGGTTGGATAAAAATGCCTTCCACACTTATATCTGTCATAACTGAAATTTGTCAACAAATTTCATGTTTTATTTAGGAAATATATAGGTTTTTATGCATACATACTGTTCAGAAGTGTGTAGTGTAATTTACACTGAATTAAATAATTACTTCTAGTCAGAATCTTTAGCAATTGATATTTCACTGAAGACAGTTTGTGGCTGAAGAAGTACATTGTAGTTATTTTCCCCATTTCAAGGATGTTCTTATTAAGCATGACTGAAAGTCCTTATTGCTTGTATAAGGAAATGAAAAATGCAACCTGATTAAGTGTAATTTTAAAAGACAGGTACAAATACAGAGTTTTTAAATAGACATGTATGTTGTTACTTTCTGCTATAGCTGCTGGGTTTTAAGTGACTGAATAAATTAATACTTTTTGATACGTTGCTTTTAAATAAATTTTTCTGTAATGAGAATAGCAGAAAGGTACATGTTAACATATTATACAATATGCTTAAATAATTATCAGTGTATCTATTGAAAATATCCTGTTTGTTTGAGCTATGTTTGAGCGGCCTCAGTCTGACTTCCCATTGCATGTTGAATGGTGTATATACAATGACATCTGCACACTTCTTTTTCAGACATCATCAGTAGGTTGTTCAGATGATAGAATTTGAATATTTTTGTGTTTAAACGTGGTCACTTCTGCTAAGAAAAAATATGTGTGAAGGAGTTTTCTTCAGACAGAGTAGACAGTTTTAGCAAAAGTCTTGGAAACTATTTTCCTAGGAAGTATGGGATCCTAGTTAAAACATTAGTTTTCCTTTAATTCTTTAGAATATGAGAGCCTTTGACAATTGAGGCTGACTAAATTGCTTGAGTTAACAGTCCTGAGTTATCGCAAAGCATACATTTCTCAGTGAGAAGCCCCTGGTTCTGCCATCTTCACAAACAGTTGAGGTAGGAGGGGACTTCTCAAGATCACCTAGTCCAACCCTCCTGCTCAAGCATCTTGGTACAATATAGTTGATAGTTGTTGAGAGCACTGTGTCATTTTTTTATGGAGTGGCTACATATATTTAAGTTTGGCTGGCTTCTTTTTAGGGTATAATTGTATAAACTACGTGTATGGCCAGATTATTGTGTCATTTTAATTAATCTAACTGAAAGGCTTAAATGATTAATTCCTTGACTTAGATTAGAAGTGAAGCTGTGCTGTGGAAATTTAGATCAATGGTAAATAAGATGTATAAGGCATACGCTAATATAATGTTCTCAATGTCTCTGACAGCTGTTCACTAACAAGAAGAAATTTTATTATTCCGAATGCAGGCAAAAATAAGGTCCTAATGTTACTTCTGTTTATATATATTTGGACCTTTTGGCAGAGTTTCACTTGGTTTTAGAATCATAGAATCATTTAGGTTGGACAAGACCTTTAAGATCATCAAGTCCAACTGTAAACCTAACACTACCAAGTCCACACTAAACCATGTCCCTAAGCGCCACGTCTACATGTCTTTTAAATAGCTCCAGGCATGGTGACTCAGCCACTTCCCTGGGCAGCCTGTTCCAGTGCTTGATAACCCTTTCCGTGAAGAATTTTTTCCTAATATCCAATGTAAACCTCCCCTGGTGCAACTTGAGGCTGTGTCCTCTCATCCTATCACTTGTTACTTGGGAGCAGAGACCAACACCCCCCTCACTGCCCCCTCCTTTCAGGGAGTTGTAGAGAGCGATCAGGTCTCCCCTGAGACTCCTCTTCTCCAGGCTGAACACCCCCAGCTCCCTCAGCTGCTCCTCATCGGACTTGTTCTCCACACCCTTCACCAGCTTCGTTGCCCTTCTCTGGACACGCTGCAGCACCTCAATGTCCTTCTTGTAGTGGGAGGCCCAAAACTGGACACAGTATGTGAGGTGCAGCCTCACCAGTGCTGAGTACAGGAGGACAGTCACTTCCCTGCTCCTGCTGGCCGCACTATTTCTGCTTTGTATGTTAAGTTTTTCTAAAATAAATCTAAAGAACAAATATTAAAGCATCTGAACTGATAGTATCTGATTTGCAGTCTCTGATTGCAGTTCATATTTTACTGAGGTATAAATTTTAAGAGAAAGAGCTATCTGTTAGATAATTTCAAGTCTTTGCTAGTGAGAACAGATGATTCTGGATTGAGCAGCACATGCAGCCAAAGTTACTGTCGCGTTTTAACCCCAGCCAGCAACTAAGCACCACACAGCCACTCACTCGCCCTCCTTCCGCGGGATGGGGGAAGAGAATTGGAAGGGTAAAAGTGAGAAAACTTGTGGGTTGAGATGAGAACAGTTTAATAATTGAAATAAAATAAAACAATAATAATAATAGTAGTAATAATAATACTACTAAATTGTCATGAAAAACAAAGTAAGAGAGAAATAAAACCCAAGAAAGACAAGTGATGCAAATGAAGACAATTGCTCACCACCAGCCGACCAACGCCCAGCCAGCCCCTGCGCAGCCCGCCCTGCCAACCTTCCTCCTAGTTTTATCAGTGAGCACGATGCCGTATGGTCTGGAACATCCCTTGGGGCAGTCAGGGTCAGCTGTCCCAGCTGCATCCCCTATCAACTTCTTGTGCACCCCCAGCCTGCTCGCTGGTGGGGTGATATGAGGAGCAGAAAGGGCCTTGGCTCTCTGTAAGCACTGCTCAGCAGTAACTAAAACATCCCTGTATTACCAACGCTGTTTCCAGCACGACTCCAAAGCATAGCCCCATACTAGCTACTATGAAGAAACTTAACTCTACCCCAACCAAAACCAGCACAGGTCTTCATAAGTCACTAAGGAAAAGTAATGTTAGAAAGCAATCTAGTCAATATGCATACAGATTTATTGTGTCTTCAGTATTTAGTTTCAGTGAAAGAAACAACAAATAATATCCAAAACCTCAGTAAAAATAAATCACAAGTAAAACAAAGTCGCTGGAGCAGAAAATTGTTGTTAATGGGAAGCTCTGAGACTTGGAATACACAGTGGAACTGAACCAAGGGTAAAGGTACATACTTTCACAAGCTATTCCAAAATTTTAGGACAAGTTCATTACATAGTTACTATCTTGCTTCAAAAAAAAAAAAAACCACCAACCTGACAGGTGATGTCTGGAATAACCCTGACAGGTGATGTCTAGAGATACAGCATATACTTTAGGATTGCAAGGCTGTTCCTGTGGGAAGAGAGCTCATGAGACGGGCAGTGCAGTCTCCTGCTCAAAGGTGGCTCAGCTGTGGAGGCAGGCGTAGGACTGTATCCAGGCAGGTCTGGGAGCCGGCAGGGATGGGGACTGCACAGCCTCTCTGAGCTGAGCAGCTCTGCTTGACTGTCCTCACCGGGAGAAGGTTTTTCTTTATTACCACCCTGAACCTCCCTCGTTGCAGCATACACCCAGTGTCACTTGTCTTCCTGCCATGCGCCTTAGTAAAGGGGCTGGGACCATCCCCTCGGCGCCCTGCGCACATGCCTCTGCGATGTACGTCTGTGCCCCTGTTACTGCAGGCCGAGACGCTGCTGACCGCCCTTCGTTGCAGAGCGCAGTGCTGGTGTTCAGGGCTGTTCACCAGGACCCCCGGGTCCTTTTCAGGAGATCTGCTTTACAGAATTTTTTTAATACTTTCATCAGGCACAAGGCCTGGGAGACCTTTCTGGTGAAGACTGAGGCAAAGGCAGCATTGAGTCTCAGCTCTCATCTTCTAATTTGAAGATTATACGGAATACAGAAAGTTAGAAAATAGATATTTTTGTAATACTTGATTCTGCTAGTAAAGTAATTTGTTGTTGGTAATTTTACTTTTAGAACGGAACTGAATGTTTTTTTCCTAAGCAAGATTAAAATGGAAGTAAAAAAATCCCCACAATCAACCCAGTGCAGTATTGGTACTGTTACACACATTTGCATTATTACCAATTATTTAATAATAATTGGTAATAAATTGTGTATCAATATCAATGTATTACCATTCTTATATTTCCTGAGTAAAGCTGGAGCATAAACCTTGAGATATCGCTACTGAGAGAAACAGTTTTATGTGCAAAATGAAGAGTGTCCATGTAATTTTTCAAGGTCAGACAACCTTATCTCAGAGGTGTTTTCATCTGCTATTCTACACACCATTTCCAGTTCCTGTTACACCTCTGCCACAGTTTTTTCTTTTATCTTTGTGAACTTTTCTATTGCTTTGGTCTATGACTGACGGTTTATTGCTATGCAGCATTTTCTTTATAAGCTTGGAACTGGAGGGAAATAAAAAATTAAGTAACAAAACATTCCAAAGGGTATGGTAAATAAAGGTTATCTAGAATACCATGCATGCAGGTTTTTTATACCAAACATACTCTTGTTGAGATATTGATGAGAGCTAGCAAGTGCACACAGTGTGTTTATGTTGTGAAACTAATGGTAACATTCATTTTTTCTTGCATTTATATTTATTTTTTTAATAATGTTTTAATTGTTGTCATTGTTGTTAATTTACTTCATGGAATCACAGGCTCTTTTTCAGTTAAATCAGATAGAGTATTGAAAATCCAGTAGATGTGTTGCAGTTCCCAACATGAATAGTTTTATTTTGCTAGATGGCTTTGAAATGCTAGCTTTTCCAGTAGTTAAGGGAGAATCTTAGAATACATCTCACAGAAACAGTTTTCTCATACAACTTTAAATAATTAATCGTTTTAATTCCAGGTGTCCTGTTGAGAAACGTTTTCACAAAAATCTCCTTTTCCAAGATTATTTTTGTGATCTGCAGTAAATGTATGTTAACAGCTGTGTATCTCTGGAAGAAACAAAGGCCTAGAATCTCTTTTGTGTTGAGTCAATGCTTTATAGCACTAATCGCTTGTACTGCATTTAGGAGTGGTACCTTGAATATAAAGAGTCACTTGAAAAAAACATAAATAAGAATTATTTCAGAAAGTGTTAATAAATATTTAATACAAATATTTATTTGATCTGCAGAAATTTACTTGAGTGCTTCCTGGATGCTTCAAAACTGAAAGAAGCAAAAGAGTTTTCATCTACTGCAGCAATCTTTATTAAGGAAAATGTTCCAGATAAATACTCTCAAATATTTTCTCTAATGGTAATGCTGTAAAATGTTTTAAACTCCCAGTAAGGCAGGAGCTTTCTCTACATTTCATAAGATCATATTTATAATTGTTAAATATATTGTTTCCTTCATTTAAATTTTGTGAGCTTCCAAATGATACAGTAGATATGCAGAGATTTTTACAATTTGTATATTTTTTGATACTCTAAGATAAAGAGCTCCCCGCTGCTCCATATTGTTTTAATACAGCATAATATTATTGGGATAACTATTGCTAACCCTAAAAATTCTGTTTGGGAATAATTACTATTAACACAGAAGGTGCAGTGGGTGCAACTTAACCTGCTTTATGCCGTTGGGGGCGTATTTAGCATCTGTTGACTTTTGTCATGCTGGTAAATACTTAAGTGACCCAACTTGAACCCCATAAATGGTTCTGGGAATTGGAGCATGTGACAATAGTTCACATTTTTTGCATGCCCTTAATTTGGGAAATAAGAGGGTGAAGACAAATGTGGCAAAGGCAGAAATAGGCAAATAAAACTTGGAAGTTGCATGCAGTCATATTTTCTTTCATTCTGCTACACTGTCTATTGTCTTTTTTATCCACTCTGAATCACTGCATTTCAAGAGTGTACGTTTATATTATAAAGTTCTCTAACATTTTAATTAAGAGAACCAATATCCAACCTTCTAGAGGTGCAATATTAATGAAGCAATAACATTTAGGCAAGGTCAGAATGGCTTTTGTATTTTTTTAGAGGCAGTGTTGAGCAAAGCTATTTGACAGTGGCCTTAAACAGAAGAATAAAGTAGTTCTAAAATTGTACTTGGGCTATGTGTCTCATCAGGGCTACAGAAGTCTGATCCACACTGTTGAGTGCTTTAGTAACAGCGTAATTAAGTCCTGCAAAACTTACTGTTCGAGTACAGCTTAAGTAATCAGTATTGATTGCTATGGGCAGTGTGAGAGAGTCAGAAGAAATTATGTGCACGTTTAATGCGTAACTGTACAGTTAAATTGACATAACTACAGTTTATTGTCATTTCTTCATAATATTTTTTGTTACATATAATTTATAGTTACAGATAAATTTGAAAGCTAGATGAGATTGTTTCAGAATGAGTGCTATCAAAAGGTGTTATTAAAAATGCATTAATTAGAATTCTAATGCAGATGTTAGTTCCACATTTAGATTTCTGCTAATACTTCTGACGCTCACTATGTGAAGGTTAGTATAGCTCTACTAGGTGATCTTTGTGCTCTCTGTGCAGAACAGCATAGGTTATCGTAGTAGCCTCACTGCCCTTAAAAGTCCACGAAAAAGCCTACAGTCAACATACCTGCTTTATTTTAGCCCTGTTGAGTGTCTGTCCTTTGCTTGCTTGTTTAGTCAATTAATAATTAAATTGTTCTTTTATAGGTATATCACAAACTAATGGATATTTCCCAGGTAGAGAAGGAAATACAAAATTCCATCCATTTTTCAGTTATTTATAAAATGCAGATGTTAAAATTGTAAGTATAAAATGTATCCTTCCACTTCTACTTTGATCCTTGATATTACAGATTAGGGTCAGGGTCTGGTATCCCATATGCCAGTAGAAAAATCTAGTGCAAAGATTAGTTCCTGCAACAGAAAACTGTAATGACAGTTTGGGTAGTAACTGTCAGGCCTGTCTAGAGAACAGCCTCAGCTAAGAAGTGAGATAGTTCTTTGAGAATGTAGGGAACAGCGTGTTGTACAGATATTCTCAGGTGAAAGAATTTAAGAGATTGAAAGACATTTTTGTGTCCGACAGATTGTGGTTTGGTACACAAGTTGTGTGTAAGAGTGAAGATGAAGTGGAGAAATCGTACCTAAAATACAATGCATGAATCGCAAGGATGGGAAGCATAATACTTTTTAAACTTTTTAATTTTTAAAGGCATAAACCAATTTTGAAAATTAGACTTCATAACAAAATCTCGTTTAATTTTTTTTTTTTTAATGTCTCAGTGCTTCCCCATTTAAAAAGTATTAATTCTTTTTGTAGTAACAGTGGATTAATTTGTGTTGACATTATAGGAAATTAGTTTTGCACACCATTTTTCTTTGCATCTGGAATAAAATTTACCATCTGAAATATTAATTCTTATGCTGGAGTGTTCTTTGTGTTTTGTATCTGCTGTCTCTGACTAACTTACTTGGCATACTGAAGTAGGTTTTGTTGACTTGATTTTTAATTTTTTTTTTGTCTGGTATTTCAAAATCCAGGCATCCCACTGATACATTGGACTAAGAGCCATCCATTCTTAAGTTAGGAGGGTTATTTCAAATTTTTAATGCAATAATATCTCTTGTGAAAAATTATGATCAATTCCTAATATATTGCAGGCAGTGGGACACAAATGAATTTCCAAGTGGTGCCACCGCAAATCTGAATTCTGTATATGTACTTTTGAAACAGTACGATGTACCTGCGGCATCTGTTCTCAGTGTGAAGTGAGTGTCATTTGTCATAGCCCTGTGAAAGTTGATGCTGAAGCTGATCCTGCTTCTACTGAAGACCGTCAAAATTCCCATTGACCTTGAAGAGAGCAAGCTTGTGCTTAGTTATAATAGTTTGTGTTGCGTTAACGCTTAGGTCATCTTAAAGAAAGACAAAGGTTCTATTAGGCTTTATTAAAGAACCCAAGATTAAATATCTTCTTCCATATAGCTGTTTGCATAACGTGATTAAATCTTTCCATAACCCTTTGTTATTGATAAAATGAGATTTTTAAAAGGTCTTAGAATTGACAAGTGCTTTTCAGACTTTAGGTCGTTTTTAGCTTTTCTTGGGGCCCTTCCCAATTCTTCAGCATAATTTTGAAATGCAGACTAAACTGAACACTCTATTCCAGTAGTTCTATCACAGCTGTTACATTGGAAATAATACTACATTTTTACTCATTAAGGTCAATCTTCTTTGACGATAGTCAGGTGTCTCATTAATTCTCCTGTCCCAGACAGTACAGTGTGCTCATTAGGTTATTTACAGAGATCCAAAAATTTAGAACACAATGTCCTACTGTGTGTGTTCTGTGTTCTTAGTTCCTAAATAATTGACCGATGGAGTTGACTGTTTTAACTTGTGTGCCAGTTGACTGCATTGTATTTACAGAATTACCTGCAATCTTCATTTGCTATTTCACCATCTTTGTGCTGCATACATTTCATTCTGCATTTTTTATGCTCTTCAGGAACAGTTTGTGCAAGACTACAGTAGAGCTATATTAATTATTTTCCATAAACAGATGAACTTCTGTGTTTTTCATGTAGCCAACTTTAATCTTTTTCCTTTTTCCTTGTTAACCATGAGCATTACTGGTATAATCACATGTCCTCTAATATTCAGATGACTTCAAGGTTTTCAGATATATTGCACAAAGTTACTTTCATATAGTTTTTTTCTAATTCCATAAACGAGCAGTACCAGATTCTCTGAAGTGATGTTTTTCTATTTTTGAAGGATCCCTTTGATTCTGGAATTAGCTCGTTTTTCTATGAAAGTAAACTGCATTAAGCTTGCATATGATTGTATACTTGATCTGAAGAGAGCTGGGATTACTGTAAGTATTAATTACGGTTGATCTTTTTTTTTTTCTTTCTTTTTTTTTTTTTTTTTACAACACCCCCACCCTTGTGATTATACTTTAAAAATAATATTGATGGTTCTGGGATCTTCTGTCCATCTCTGTATTGTTTATATATTCATTAGTATAAACAATTACTTGGATAAGTGGTCTATTCCTAAACTAGAGAGAAGATGTCAGGTCAGAGGGTAGGGTATGGGTAGAATAGGGTAATTAGTAATGCAGTTAGATTTGGCAAATAAATGTTAACTGTTAATTTTTGCCTATGTTTTTTAAATGTTATGTGTGGAACAGTTTGACTGGAAGTTAAATGCTGCCTGTGGGTTTTGAAGATTTAACCAGTTTACTCATTGAGATTGTAATTGGTCATCAAGACGTAAGCTCTAGCAGCAGCTAGTGTTACATGCATTCACTTTAGTCTTCATGAGTACAATATCAGCGTTGTGGAACAGCATCTGTATTCCAATTTTGATGAGGTGAAAACAGAGCATTTGTCTGGAGCATCATTAGGGGACTCATGGAAGGAGGAGTTCAAAAAAACTTGCCAAAAATAAAAGTTCCAAAGTTGTTACCTTTTCCGGAAAGTAGGACTTCGCAGTACGGTTCTCATTGGAGCAAGAAATCCAGAGACATTGTGCCACAAACTGCACTCCTTAATCCTTTCCTTTATGTGGACCTTTCCTGATAGTGTTTGTTCCTATACATTTCCCAGTTTCCTTTAGTAGGAATGATTCATTTTCCAGCAAACTATTATTTGACTTGTTATTCACTAACACTTAATATTTTTTACTCTGTAGTATTTTTATTACAATGTAGTATTTTTATTACAATGTTACTGCAGGAGTATTCCTAGGTTACAGTTTTGTGTGGTCTCCTTAATAACTGGTTTTCCAATGTGTGTGCCCTTTTTGATTCTTGCATCCAGCTGGTTCTGAGATTTGTTTTTTCTGTTTCTTCCCTGTTGTGGTGGTTTAACCCCAGCTGGCAACTAAGCACCACACCGCTTCTCACTCACTCCCCTCCCCCCAGCAGGATGGGGGAGAGAATCGGAAGGGTAAAAGTGAGAAAACTCATGGGTTGAGGTAAAAACAGTTTAATAATTAAAAAGAAAGAATAATAATAAATTGTAAGGAAAAGAGGAGAAAAAAAATAGAAAAATAAAACCCAAGAAAGACAAGTGATGCAAATGAAGACAATTGCTCACCACCAGCCGACCAACGCCCAGCCAGCCCCTGAGCAGCCCGCCCTGCCAACCTTCCTCCTATTTTTATCGGTGAGCACGATGCCGTATGGTCTGGAACATCCCTTGGGGCAGTCGGGGTCAGCTGTCCCAGCTGCATCCCCTATCAGCTTTCTGTGCACCCCCAGCCTGCTCGCTGGTGGGGCGGTGTGCGGAGCAGAAAGGGCCTTGGCTCTGTGCAAGCGCTGCTCAGCAGTAACTAAAACATCCCTGTATTACCAACGCTGTTTCCAGCACAGATCCCAAACGTAGCCGCATACCGGCTACTGTGAAGAAAACTAACTCTGTCCCATCCCAAACAGGTACACCCATTGAGAAACAGAACTGTTTGTCACTGTATTCAGAAAATCAGTATGTTTTTTCAGATGCAATAATGTATGAAAAAGTGCCTGTTTGCGTTGTGATCCCTGTAAGTTTTTAGTTATCTGAAGTATGCGTGTAAGGAAATATAAGAGGCAAATACTGCCAATCAAATTTCAAAACATACTTGCAAATTTCTGTTACAATGATCCTACTTTGAGTTAATTGTAACGTAAATTTTACTTATCCTCACTGAAATTTTTTTGTTCCGGGTGTCTGCTTCAGGCCCATTTTTTTTGAAAATTTCCCGCAAGTCTAAAATGATACACAATTCCATAGCATTCCACTGGAAGATGTCTTTTAAATCCCCTAGATCAAAGATTCACAAGGATTTAGATTGAATATTTGTATAGACTCTAACAGCGAGTATCCCTTCTGTGGCAGCAGTAGGAAAGCCTTGCTTCTATTTCAGCCTTCTCTTCTCCCTTAGAGTTAGCGGGCGTTTAACCATCTTCAGATTGCCCGGCATCGTTTTACAGTGACCTCTTCATGTTAGAGTGAGAGAAATCTATATCAAGTTCCAGTTCCTTGGCTTTTGCCAAATACTGCAGATTTCTCAGCCATAACATGAATTCCATCTCTCTATGTATTTGTTATTACATGATAGTGGCAGCTCTACATTCGTCTAAATTTTTCAAGGTCTCATCTATTTTCCGGTCATGGGGATGTTAAATTAAAAGAGGTCATGCTGAGTGATTTGATAATAGTTCATAATGAATGATGAATGGAGATGCTGCCTGGATTTCCCTACTGCACCATATGAAACCAAATACAAAGTATCTTTGATGATCTATACATACAATTTCTGTGATTTAACAGCCAGATTTTTCCTGAGGTGTTAAAGATCTAACCTCTTCTTTCACTTAAAAGTTGCACTACCCATCAAGACGAATCCTTTCTGTCTTGACTAGCTCTCGTTTATTCCAAGCATGTACCTTTTTAATAACATTAGTGAGCAAGAATCTACTAGAACTGAAATCAAGTTACAGTATAGGAAAAATCAAGTGTACACTGGTTTTCTTATTGTGAAGTCTGGCAATGAACACTTTAAAAATACTGGTAAAGTTATTTTGCAGTTTCAGCTTAGTAAGAAGTGACTGCTGTTCAACAAATTCTACTCCCTTTTTATTGTTTCAGTTAATTAGTATAGTGGGAATTTCAGTAAGAAAGTACAGTGCTGTATTAGTGTAGTTGCATGGGTTTAATCTTCATTGTGTTCCTTTTTAATTATTAAAATTAGCATTTTGTATATTAATACTTCATAGGAGCAAGGGAAACTTATTGAAATAGAATGCCTGGAATGTGAATATGAAATTAAAAAAATTGGCACTAAAATTGTGACTTATACCAAAGGAGTTGTTGAGGTATGTTCTTTAACATTAACTTTGAGAGAAAAGCAAAAGTTTTAGTTTGTTAAACGTGAAAAATTGCATTGAGCTTGAGTGTCTTAATTACATTATACTGATCAGAAATTCTTTTAAACTTTGTGTTCTTTCTAATTGGGCTGCCAAGAAGAAAACAGGGAAAAATAAACAACAGTTGTATATTCCTCCCTTAAGTCTTCTGTCTGACTATAAAGGTTCGTAATATATTCCTTTCCAAGAGTAACGAAAGTAGCATTGAGGCATGCAAAGGCAACACTCTCTTGTTTCCATATTTTACATTCATGGGAGGTGGAATATCTCAAGTTGGAAGGGACCCATAAGGATGATGAAGTCCAACTCAACTATTACTGCATGTTATGGGCGAATTCTTATATTAGAGAAGTGCAGATTATTCCTGATAAATTGTCACACTGGGGAGGATTTTCTTAGATTTCCATAGTCAGTTGAGTCAGTTATAATTCAATGGGATTAGATAGATGCCTACAATGATCAATTTAGAGCAGCTATTAGAGGCACTTAAAGTTCCTGAAATGTGAAATATGAATATGCTTCATGGAAATGAATAGTGTTAGTGCATAAACTTACTCGTATCTACGACTGTTCTCATCTTGGGGTTCAGAAATTCCATTCACCTTTTGAAGAAAAAAAAAAAATTCCTCATAATATGAAACATTACTAAGACTGCTTAAATAAAAAATAGGATATGTAGATATTCAGGTATTTCTGAATATTTCTACTACAGTGTATGCAGTTGGAGAGTTTTGTGGTTTGATTTTTTTCTTTTTTTCTTTTTGATTGCATAACATCTAAAAAGAACTTAATAATTGGCAAGTGTCTGTTACTGAAGGTAAGGATTTGCTTTTAGATTTAACAGGAACCAAGTTTAATTGACAGTATGGCAAATCCCATTCATAATATTTCTTTTTTTCCTCTCCTACACTGCATTTGTAGCTTAGTATAAAAAAAAGAAGCAGCTAAGCCTTCTGAATTCACAAATATTTCACAATATGTGAAATGTATCAATTTCTGTTTATCGTAAGAAGGGGGACTAGCTGACAGACTTCTGCCTGAAACATGTAGTAGCAGCATGGAGTACCTAAAAGAAATACTCCTTAGTTATCAATGCCTATTTAAAAAAAAAAAAAGTTTTCATTAAAGAAAGTATTTAAAAAAAAATTACTAAAAAAAAAAAGCAGCTTTTGAACTCTGCTGGCTTATCTGTTGGAAACAGCCCTAAGATTAAAATTTGGAGGAACATGTAAAAAGTTGTATTCATTAAATGCAATATATGCTAATAAGTTTTTCATTTGTGTAGGCTCAGCTGGAATTGATAAAAAATCTTGAGTTAACCTTAAAACATGCAGTTCAGTTGGGAGATCCTGATGTGATTCAGGTTGTTTGTACAACCCTGTGGAATCTGTGCTTACCGCTACTACAGCACAATTTGCATCAACATGTGCGAAAGCCGTTGATATCAGTTGCTGATGTCCTTGAAGAGATTGACAGGTAACTTTCTATGCTGTGTACTTTTTTATTTGTTACTTTGAAAGGCCTAATGACCGAGCATCAAACTCATTTAAAAACTCAAGCTCTATGATGTTACGTGTCTTTCAAAATTTTCCGCTATCTTGTAATAAATTAATGTCTGCACGTTGCATACATTTCCTCGTTAATCATTTAAATATAGGTTCCTTTCAGGCAAAATCTCACATTATTTAATGGCCTGTAGCAAATACTGAAATTTGTTAGGAACTGAAAAATACTATAGTTCATCAAAATTATGTGACAAAATTCCAAAGCTGCAGTATGAGTAAATGTGTTGGAATGTGGTTTAGATTCTCGTATTAACATTACTTTTGTTGGTTAAAAACATACAATTAAAAAATTACTTCTAAAAAACATCATGGCTTCTGTATTACATGTCAAATAAGGCACTTCTTGCAAGATACTATTTTTGTATCTTTGGTGATACTTCTTTTTAATTGAAAAAACTCTTAAGAAAATGTATAATTTTTTTTAGATGTATTCTTCTGTTTGCTGTTATGCTGTACTTAGCCTTAAGCACCTAATTAGCTTCACCTTTTTTTGTTAATTTGAGTGGAACAAGTAAACCTTAGTATGTGGTACTTGGTTAAGTTTGGCCCTATGCATAGGCTGACTACTAAGAATAAAGATCATAACTTTTGTAGTAGAGCTAGTTACAATTGACATAATCTGTCATTTGAGCAGAAGAGTAGGTGGTTTCTGATAAAAGTATTACAGAGGAAGGTGAGGAATATATTTGCAGTGTTTTTAAAATGTAATTTTTTGGTTGCATAAAGAGGAAACAAGCATGAAGAAGCAGATACACGCATGTATAAAAACGCTATTTTGTATTACTGTACTGTTATTCAAGCATTTCTTATGCTTTCCATATAAAGATTGCAATATCAGCATATGCAACTTTGATGTTTATACTAAATGTCAGTAGTGACAATTTTTCTCTAAAAGCTTTCAGGTTAGGTTTTTGGGAGGGGTTAGAGTCTTGGCTTTTGTTATCCGTGTATTCCTAACAATCCAGTAGACTCAATCTCAGCTCTGAAGTGGTACTGTCTGCTAGAGATTGAATGAAGTCACTTGTCCCTATTAATTAATAGCTAAGTGGTAACTTCAGTGTGGTACTGAAAAAGAGTTCTGCTCATATGCAAAGATCAGTTAGTCTGCAAGATGTGTTGTGTTGCTTCCTCGTGACTGTGTTTGCTCATGCAGGGCTAATGGAAGTAAAATGCAGTTAAATTTTCTAAGTCATTTCATTAGAGGCATAACAGTGAAAATGAAAGAGACAAGTAAGTTAAAAAGGGAATATCTATTTTCATACTGGAGTCACTTTTAATTACTGATTTTCATTTTTGGGTAATTTTTAGGTCTAAGAATTTTAGTTTGCCTCATTTTAACAGTTTACATTTAAATTTGTATTCCTTAGCATGTTGATTTTGTTGCGTTGCCAAGTTCATATGGAAATAGCTCGTATTGAAGAAGATGGGGACAGAATAGAGGCTGCTGTGGAACATTTGCAAAAAGCTATACATCTGAACTACAGTGGGCAGTATCAAGAACATCTAAGATTGACTTTTAACCGTCTTCGTTTGTGCACTATGCTGTATAAGTCACCTGAGCGTCTGGAGGATCAGGCAGTAATGATGATTGAACAGGTAATCGTGAAGAGTAAGGTCAGTAGCTGAAATAGGTTTGCTTGTTAAATTCTGGCAGAGGAAAGCCAGCTGTTTAGTAGAACTGCGTATTAGTAGAGCCAGCATCAGCTTGCTTTCAGCAAATTGGCATTGGTTGATTGCGTTGAAAAACTCTCTGAATTCTCTCTATGGTGGTCATGCTGCTTCACACTCTGAAGATTGCAGTGGAGGATTTTTTCCAGTTATGTTCAAAGCTTATTTCTTGGTGGGGGACAGGAAGTTATTAATTAGCAAAAATATCACCAAAAAGGAAGCCTATTCATAATTGTCAACAGTTAAGATTTCATTGTATGGAACAGGGTTTTAATTAATGAGGGGAGCAGTAGCAAAATGGCTCAACATCCTGTCTGGCTTTGAGATAAATCTGTATTCCGTCACACTTACAAATGATGCTGAATAATACTATCTAAAGTCACAGTGTAGTCATTGTCAAGAGTTACTGCATCTAATTCTGTTGTGGTGCCTCAGCATCTGAACAAAAATCATGTTGGCAACTGATTGTCGGCTGGCTAAAAGAAATTTCAGCTATGTATATTATTTTGGGATATTCACACAAATTAAGATGTGTTCACTGAACCTAAAGTCAGTACTGGAAAGCTGCTGGTGACTTGATATGTCTATTGTTAAGACAAAAGTGAGATTTTTTTTTTGTCTAGTTTTAATGCTTGTCTATGCAAGCTTACTCTGTTTAAATGTAATTCTAAAAAAAGCAATCACACCTCCTCTGACTTTGGCTAATTCTGAGTGGACTAGGAATTTTTCGATTTTTGTAGCAGTTCATAGTTACTGCACAACGGATATGTTACTGTTGGTTTCTAAATATATGCTGTTCTTTGTTTAAGAACGTATACCATAATGACAGGTTATACACTGAGGGATATACTGTAAAGATCCATGAGGAGCATGAACAGTACTTTGTATTCAGTTATCTTTGATGTATTCATGTCAGGATCAACCAAAGTTCTACAGTCACTTTCAACAACAGTAACACTGCAGAATGATGTGTAAGATATGTGAAGATATGCAATTCCTAGAGGTATTTTTTTTTGGTGGTACCAAGTTCTATGATCTGCATTCTGTTATGTTTAGTAAATAAGATAAATAAATAGGAATATAATAAAAACGAACCTTATAACAAATAGTTCTTTTCTTTATGTAGGCTAAAAGGGGAAAGGAGAAGGACAATGTGAGGAAAAAGAGGTCCCTTCTGGTAAATGCAGGTCTTGCGTTAGCTCCTGATTCATTTCAAATAGTCGTTGACAGTGAAAATGAAGCTAAAGGTAATGTACATATGTTGACTAAAAGTGACTAAAAGTTACTACACTTGATTTTGACGGCTTTGCACAGTCTTAAAGGTTGGACATAACATCTAGTGACATGATGTAGAGAATATTGCAATACAAGTGAAGTGACAGTTCTGCTGAATTCTGTGGCAAAGCTCCTATCAATTTCATTAGGGATCTAAGATATTATATTGTGATACTGGAAGAGGAAATATTATTGTTTTCCCCTCTGAATTAATCTGAATCTTACTGTTTTGCTGTAGTGTGCTGTAAGTTGTGCTGTAATTTTATTTTCACTATGTGCAACTCCTGAATGTTCTTACCCAAGGTCAGTTTCAAGTGGTATTTGCAGAATTTTCACCCCGTAATATTCTGTGTTAATTACGTACAGTATCAGGTATTCATTCTATATTGTAATTGTCTTGATCAACTGAGGACTTACAAGTAAGAGTGTTATTTACAGAATCAGCAATCCCACTTCATGAAGTACATTGAAGTATGTGAAAATGGTTTTGTTGGAAAACGTTTTCATGCATGATTTAAGGTGATAAGATGCATTGTGTTTGTGCAATGATGAGAATTAAAAGCATGCATATATTTCTACTTGCTCTTGAATTTTGAGTTGACAGCTGTAAAATTATATCCAAACTTCCTCAGAATAAATCTCACTACACATTAGCCTTCCAAGATAAGGCATTAAAATGAGAGAGATGATCACAATATTGCAATTATTGCAGTACTTTGTTTGACACAACCTTTTGTAAAATTTTGTTTTGCAAGATTTCAGTTGTTGGTGAGGCTGTCATCCAAACAGTGAGTTTTTTGCTTTTTCCATGACACTTAAGTTACAACAAACTTAAACATGTTTATTGAAGGAGTAAGAAAATATATATGCAACTGTATTATTAAAATATACATATATTGGGACATCAGATTAGTAGGGTTATTTCTTCTTTTAAGTTGCATAAATAACTGTGCGTCAAGATTTCATTATTTTTTGGTGTATATGCTCGCCTAATTTAGTGAGAGTTGTACCCATAGATCCAGAGCACAATGTACTTTCAAAATCCACAATTCTTTACCCTACAACCTTACATGATATTGCTGTCACTATGTATTATACTGAACAATTTCTGTCAGTTGATCTATGTGTATAGTTAGGTAACACAGCCTTATCATATGCTGGATAATGCATTGCAAGATATTTTTAACAGGAATGGTAAGACACTATGCCTTCCTCTTTTCATTGTAAGTGAATATAAGTGAACCTGCTTATATATATATTTTAAAGACAGAAATACTTCATATGTATTTGCTGCTATTATTTTGCAGATTTTTTGAGGATTGAATTAAAACTTCCTCAGTCTGCATTATGTTAGGGAGGATCGCTTAGATTCAAGTGAATGTACAAACTGGTTGGATTTCCCAGTCACATCAAGTTACTTGTATTCTACTGTAAAGCATCTCTTGTCATTACACTGCAAAAAATAATCTCTTTTCGATGTGTCTGTACCACTGGAGTAATTTTCTACCTCAGGGGGCCAACTTGTTTCTCCTTTGCATCATTTTTTTGTGTTGGTTATTTCCTTGTTTAATATTTTTGCCCAATATCTTGTAGACTAAGTAAAACAAAAGTCAGTATTCTCAAATTAAAACAAAATAACAAACTTCAATATTGATTGAAAATGTGTTTGATAGGTAAGTGTTCTTAAAAGTCAGCATGAATTTGAACTTTACGTATTACTTCATCCATTGATGATTACTTCATCCATGCATGTCCTGTCAGAAAAGAGGTGTACTTGACATATTTGGGGACCAAACAAGCATAAATCAGGTTTTGTATGGGATAACGATATCTGAAGATGTAGGAAAAACAGAATAGATGCTGGTGGGGTGTGGTTTTTTTCATGTTGGTTGGTTGGTTTTGGGAAAGGTTGGAGGACTGAAAAAAGGGCTGGATTTCAAGTGTTTCAGAAAGTAGTTACGAATCAAATTGCATACCCTTCCTGTGGATTTTTTAATTTCCAATACTTAAAAATTACCTTAAATTCTTTTTTCTTTGCTAAGTTTCCTCAGGTAAAAGTGGGAGTCAAATAAGCTACCTCTGTGCAAAAGCACAACATCATATTAAAAGCATGGAGAAAGTTGATGAACATTTGAAACACTTAAATGAAAAGGACAGAGAAAGGTAATTACTGTAGACAAGAAGCATCTCTCTTGTGTAGAAGTCTCTAATGGAAAAGTTGCGTATTGCAGCTGTTAAGTTACTTGATGATACTTTGTAAGAGGCTGAATACTTCAGTCAGACCTGGCAAAGCATTTAAGCATGTGTTTAACTTTTTGTCTGAAAAGTTCCATTATGTTCACATGCTGTGCATAATTGTATTCTTCCGCTGTTTCTAATCCGCCCACTCACACGCACACATAAACTCACCTGTTCTATTGATATGAACTGAACACAACCAAGAATGAGTGGATTAAGGCTGGAAGACTGAGTAACTTGATGTACAATTGAAACTTGGCTGAAGTGTCTTTTCAGGCCCTTGTACCACATCACGTGCTACAGGTTATTTGATAAAGAAATGAAGTAGTCCATTCTGAGAGTCAGAAGGACTAATCGGTGGGAAAATCACAGGTTTTGTTTTGACTATTTGTATATCATTTTATCATTCTTTATTTAAAAGGAGATGTTTCCTTTTTTTTGCTGCACTAAAAATTCCTGTGATGAAGTTTAAACTAAATTGTTTTCTGAAAAATTCTAAATCCAAACTTGTTTTCAAGACTTATTTTGAAATTCTCAGCATCAGTTTTGAAATACTTAGTTTAGTTTATTTTATAAGATAGGTAATTAGGGGTGTCACACACATTTTGAAATTTCAGTATAGTAACTATCCAAGAATTTTATCCTATTCTCAATATTCTGAGGGAATTTCTTTTTTTTAATTAATAAAGTAATAGTGTTATCTTTGCTACTGATAAGACAACTTCCATTTATTAATTTTTATTAGATTTAAAATTTTACTTATGATGGGCATCATTACTGAAATTATTTTTTTGTCGATCCTGAAGCGTGGAAGATAATCTGCTTATAAAGTAATTTTATGTATGCTTTTTCTTTGGCAGAATTATACTTTGGGCAGATTTGGCAAAAGTTGCACGTAAACAAGAAGTATGGGATGTCTGCCGTGCAGCATGCAGATTTTGTCTCTTGTATGATGATACTTTGTTTAGGATGGTAACAAAACCTAAAAAAAGTAAGTTATTTTGCATGTTTTCAGAGCAACTTTTGCTCCATTTATTAGAGTTACTTGAAGGAGTCAGCCAGTATTATTATTTTGTTCCCTCCCATTCCCAGAGTTCCCTGAGACTCTTGTCTGTCACTGCGTGTTGGCATACATGGAATATGTATGCCTGCCTCCGAATCTAAAAATCAGTCAGTACATTCTTCTGTTGCAACCATACTTTGCCTTCCGCAGTGTTTCACCAGTGCTGAAGAAGAGTACTTCTATGAAATGTATCTACCTATCTAAGAAAATAGGTTCATTCCCTGGTGGTCATCTAGGTCCATATTATCCGTCTCTGTCATACTTAATTACCTGAGGAAGCTGAAGAAAAATGGATTATGAGTCACTTTGTATGAGGCTCACGTGGTAATATTTTTTACCCTTTATTCCCTTATTAGTGGTTCCTCTGAGGTATCTGACACTGTTTGTGCTTTGTTCCCTGCTGAAAACCTGCCACGCGTGTTAAAAGAGTTCTCAGCTCAGGGAGAGAGCGCTTTCAAACCACTAGCTGCTTGCTCCATTTTATATATCTCTGTTAAAGTTGTTTTTTTTTTGCCTGGGAGTTCGTAAAACTCACCTTTAAGAATACATGAAATTCTAGTACACACCCTGTTGGCTGTTTTTTCCCCTAGCCAATGTTAATTGAACCTATTCCACATTTTTTCTCTAGATTGTTTCCAAGGTCCACTTAAAATAGGGCATTAATTCACCTGTTTTCTTTCACAAGTTTTGCGTCTCCAGACCCATTATGACAGTTTTTATGCTCTTACTTTGTGTTTATATTAAAATAATCTTGGTCCTTTCTCTTCATTATTAAACCAAAGAAACAATGATATTTTTCTCTTTATTGATGTGTATGTTGCCAGAAAGTCAACCCCATTTAAACACACTGAGATTTTAGCCATTACTTAATGTCCAGCACTCTACTTCCATTGAAGCAATAACATTGAACTAGAGGCCATGGGTTATATTCATATTCATGTAATTTCAGTATGCATGTTATGACTGGAGCAAGTTATTTGCTGCAAATACTGAAGTTTATGCACAAATGCAGCAAAATCACAGGTAACCAATACTTCAGTGCTGCTTGAGAAGAATGGGGTTTGAGTGCAATAAACTGTATTGATGAAAAAAAAATTGAGTGAAATAATTTTAAATCTGTACTTGTTAACTCTTTCTTGTGGATTTAAGAATGTGTAGGGATTTCTAAATTTTAAAATGAAGGTGATTTTTTTCTGATTTGCATGGTAATAAAACCGGATTTATTTATTTGATTATTTGTTTATTTTTAGCACAAAAGAAGAAAGCTAGTACAACTACAATGGATGATGATCAAGGTGACTGCTTACCAGGAGAATCATTGCTACCTGCTAAATCCTTCTCCTTTGAAAGAGATTTACTCAGAATATTAGCAGAAATAAGATTCATTAATGCAGAGGTAAATAAATTACACAGCTGTCATTCATATTTGTTTCATTTAGCTTTGTTTTATGTATAATTTTATGTATAAATCTTAAAGCACTGGAATTTTGAGTTTATTTATTGTCTGTCTCCACCGGAACTAAAGGAAGTAGTAGTTTCATGAAGCATCTTTATCAAAATACTGTGTGAAAGTAACTATAGCAATAGTTTCACTGTAGGTGGTGATAACACTTCTTTACAGGTGATTCTCGTGTAAATGTTTGACGTGTGACATTATGTTTCTGGATCCTTAAAGTTCCAGCATGATTATAAATAAATAAATAAATATTTTAAAAA